AAAAAAAAAATTTGTCCCGACGACCTATCTTCTATGCGCAAATGGCTACCGTATTCAAAAATATGCTATTTTTCTATTAAAATTCTAGGTTTTATATTTTATTTTATTTTAAAATATCTTATTAGGAGAATATATTGACTTTCATGAATATTATATAATTTAATTGACATAGAATAAAGGTCATAAGACATAAGAAATTAAACTTATTAAATTTTTTTTACTTTTTATTTTCATACTAAATTTAATAATTATAATTAGTATTTATTCATATATTATATTTTAAAATCAAAGAACTACTAATTAGGATGTTATTATTGTATGAAAATTCTCGATTTTATTTTTTACATTTTTAACATTATAATGCTATAACTTATTGAAAAGTTTATAGATCAACATAATTTTTCTATGAGAAATACTATTTTTTAATAATCCCTTTTTCATTCGACATACTTTATCTTAATCAGGATATCAATAAGGAACTAGCAGATTATGTAGCTTTTGAAATAATCCACCAATTTTTTAAAATTAAACACTATCTAAAGATTTGCATCGAAGTGTTTTTTTTTTAAAGTGATTTTAATCACTGTCAGATATCATTATACTTGATCCAACTATGCCACGTCACCACTATGCCGCTACCCACCTGTGCTGGGTTTTTAACTTTAAAATGATATAACTTTTTGAAAACTGTATGTATCAATACTTTTTTTTATGAGCAATAATATTTATATCCCTCTTTCATTTGACATACTTTATCTTGATCAGGATATAAATAAGGAAATAGCAGATCATGTAGTTTTTGTAATAATCCACCAATTTTTAAAATTAATCACTATCTAAAGATTTGCATCGAAGCGTTTTTTATGATAGTGATTTTAATCACTGACAGATATCATTATACTTGACCCAACTATGCCATGACACCACTTTGCCGCGACCCCCCTGTGCTGGATTTTTTTATATTCCTAGCCGCAATACTTCCTATGATCACAATCATTTATTGCACTAAAGAAAACAATAAATTTATGTAAAAAACTAGGTAGTAAAATTATAAATAGGTAAAGCAAATTATAAGTAGTGATTGTTAGACAAATTAAAAAAAATTTTATTTAGGTAATAAATTTAAAACAATACGTTTTTTTTCATTTGTATTCGTGGGCGTATAGTAAACTACTGCTAAATAATACATACAATGAAAGTTTTTTACCATGCTGGCCTTGTATAAATTTATATTACCTAATAAAATCTTTCATTTATGTCACTATCCTTATATTATGACATTTTTTAAACTATATACATTTACCATCATATTATTATTCTAAATTACATTTTATACAAGGAAACTCGATAATTTTTTTTCTTGCTTTAATGTATGTACAGTAACATAAAAATAAAATATTCTATCAATATGTTTAAATTTTTTAAAATTCTACATTTATATCTTTAAACAAAATTGTAATTTTTGACTCTATGTAAATTATTAATAAATTATTTTAAGTTATTCTTTTTAATTCAAAAGATTCAAAAATCAAAATAATATTCAAAAGGGTTAATTTTTGAATATTTTGTTACAAAAACTAGATCACAATATTTGTTAAGTGTACTTTTTCCATTATATATTTCATTATAACCAATTTTAGTAAGATATACTAATAAAAACTAACCGTAACGATTTTCATTACCTTCTGGATTAGCGACAACATCTTTTACACGGCATATCAATTTTCTAGTCCAAATCCAATACAAATTACAAGTACCAATGCACCTTACGACAAGTAAGTACACTTATTAAATCCAGTGCTTGATATATATACAGTCTAATTAGTAAAATAACTAAAAAGTTCTAATTTATGTTATTATTATTATTATTATTCATTTTATATAACCTTCAATTTTTATTTATGTTATAATAAAAAACATTGTTTCATAAAAAAAATACAGTTTTTTTTATTTTTCTTGGAATACATTAAAAATCAAATAAGTATAATCCAGGTATGATACGTATATCTATAAAAACTCGAGTAGTAAGGGAGGCTGGGAAAAGTTAACACCCTTAAGCTTTAATTAAATCTCTCAAAGAAAGTATTCATCATAAAAACTTGAAATTCAATACATATACTATGTAAAAAACTATGGGAAAAACCACCTACTCCTAAGAAATTTTAGATGTATTATACAATCTTTAATAGATCTACCAAGTTAATGAAAAAGTTATAGTGTAAAAATATTTAAAAGGGGAAATCCATTTGATGACTCAAATTACTAACACTTCTACTACTATAACTACTACACAATGTTTAAATCATACAACATGTTGTATATCTTACTGTTATACAGACTTACTGCTTAATATTAGTACCAATCAGCAATTGATAGGTTCATTACGTCTTACAACAGCCACTTTTTATTTATTTTAACTTGTCTTCCACTAAATACGATTTGTGATCTTTTGACGTATCGTTGAATAAAACGGTCCAGTGAGATCCCAGAAAAAGTAGTGACAGACACAAAAAAAAATAGATAAATAAAAAACAAATAAACACATCATAGTAAAATTAATACTTTCTCAGCTTCGAATCGAATCTAAAACCAATCATGCAGTAATATGTTTTTTTTTAAATTTTTCTTTCGATTTATCAAAAAACTTTGTAAGAATTTTAATAATGGGACACTATATCCTGTAGTATAATAGTTATTGAATTAAAAATGAACGGTTATATCACTCTGTTGTCATTAAATTATTCATTGATGAATCATTTCACGTTCTTAAACGTTTTAAAATTATTCTCTAATCTCTATAATTGAAACAATCGACCACGCAATGACCCCAATATATTACGTAATTGATACATAAATATTTTAAATAATAATATACTTTTTATTATTGTTCTATCAAAGATACTATTTTAATTTAAAGGCTAGTACTTTTCTTTTCTTTATAGTTGAATTTCATTGATATCTTACATCACAAAAAAATTATTTAATTTCGCTAAGATACCACATATCCAAAAACTTTCAATGATAGAAAACAAATATGTTTTAATAGGAAAAAATTTTTAATTTTTCTGTTTAATATTAATGATTAACAGATTTTTTTTCATTGAAAAAGAACAAGAATTGATAGATCTATTTAAAACTAATAAATGTAATAACTAGTTTTATTATGAATTTTAAATATTCGAATATTAAACATTATGTTAGATTATGTTCAATAAATTGTACTTAAAATTTTGTACTCATAAAATAGAACACCGATTGAGTGAAATACTTTATAAAATATTTTCATTAGTCAGCTAGTATTTGTCATATTGAATACAGATATCTATTCTTGTCCAACTCATACCTACAGACTACATATTTGAACCTCAAAAGAATGTTGCGTGTGGTTAAATAATAAAGTACAATATCAATTTTTAGTCATCATGAAGACGTACATGTATTTGAGAAACAGTATGTCAAGGTTCATAATTCAAACGAAAAATTAATATTTAAAATTATTAAAGAATAAGATGATGGAAACAGATATAACCATGCTCCACATTTTTAAGTACATCAAAAAATCAACAATTTTTGTTTGAACTGTTGACATCATAATTTTATTAATTCAATAACCATAATTATAGGAAAACTCTTAAAAATTAATAATTATCAAAAAAGGACATCATTTTATAAATGCTTTATACATCAAGTATGAATCATTGATAAACATCAAAACCCTTGCATTACTATATTTATCCTGTAATTTAATTAATATTTATCAAAGAAGACTGTTACCTCTTTTGATCATTGGATCAATAATATATCTTAAAACTGTGAGTTATGTATATTTATAAACTTTCTTAGGACTTCATTCAAAGGTCTCAAGATTGTGCAACTTTATTGAATGACTATATAGTAACGCAGAAAATTTTTTTTGTTTTAGAGGGAATTAACCCCACTACCATAAAAAAATATATATAACATCGGGAAATATGAATTAATAAATGTTCAAATCAATTAATAAAAAACTGTACTGACTGATGATATGTTCGGATTAATATAACATAATTTATAAATGCATATAATTTACAGATACATTATTTTACCAGACTCTTGACTTACATTGTTGAAGTTTTAATTTTGACGCGAAACTGAGAAAGTATTGATATGTTTTTTTATTTCTGTCTGACCATAAAATTTCTCATCTTCCACTGAAATGATACTACTGATCAATACGACAATGGAACCCAAATTGTATCTAACTCTCATAAATTAAAAATATTTTCTTAACATTTTTTTACAAAGAAAATATATCTTTAAAATTAGTATCTTTTAAAAACAAGTAATTTTTAATTATTTTGACAATATCAAATTGTTAAAAATAATATTTTATTTTAAAAAAGCATTTATCTTAAAATTAATTTTATGAACAATACTAAAAACTAATATGGAGCCCAAGGCTTTTCCCTCAATTTATGTCTTTGACTTTGTGACGAAACTAAAAGGATCATTTTGAAATTATACCCCGGACACGATGTATGGTTGCTACGGTTCTCAATGTATAAAAAATCTAATGTTATTCATTTTCTAGGGTTACGCAAGTTATAACGAAGGCACAAACAAAATTCATCTTTTTAGACAAGAGTAATCAAAATATTGAAATTTATTTGAATTTTTTGAATTTATTAAGCTACTTAAAATACTGTTGCATTATTATCAAACAGTATTGAATTTATTGTTAACTATTCATTTTTTTTTATTTAGGAAATAAAAAAGTAAAATCGTACTCAGTTAAAAAAACTGCTCTTTAGAAAATTTACAATATACATCGATTTTTTTATTGACGTTTGAATTCACATTTTTATATATATACTGACATGACGTGCCATATTCCAATTACTTAAAAGTACTTACTTATTAAATGTGGAAGAACTATCTAGTATTTTGGTGGTAGATAACTCAATGTCAATGAGCGTAATGGACATAGCTAAAACAATCGCACGTAGTAGTGTCTTTCTTGGTCTTCTATAAGAGCATACAAAATTAATTTTTTTTTTTAAAGTTTATTTTATTTTTAGTTTTTTTGTTTTTTTAAATTTATGTGGAAACGACATCAGGTTTTCAATGAATTCAGTCAATTAAATTTTGTAAAGTGACATTCTTTAAAATAAAACGTACAAAAAAACAGGTAAATAAAAAAATGCTTTATAAGCTTAACTTTACTATTTGATAATTTAAAACTACATTTATCTTTTTTATATACATCTAAATTAATATGACATTAGACATAGAAATATTTTTTTAATACAGTTTTAGTTTACAAAATTTCAGTAAATTTAATTTAATGAATACAAAATATATAGTTGACTTGGATAAGACTATAAATTATTTGAATTAAAACAAAGACTGACAAAATACTAATGAGTTATCAAGAAAGGTATATTAAAAATTGAAACATATAGAGAATCATATTTTATTTGTTTTTACAATAGAACATTTAATATTTTGAATATTACGAAAAACAAAATTGATAAAGACAATACACTCTTTTTCCAATAACTCAACTAGTTATATTTAAATAGAACTAGTTGGCATTTTTGCATACTTTTATTCAGATTTTATTAGTTCATATTTATGAGTCAAACATTATTTTTCTAACAAAAAATTTTTCTACTTATCCTATTTTTACACTTAGATAAACATTTGCATTACCATAATTTTAAAAATACTATTAAAACACAACACTGGAAATTTTCTCATTATACAATAAAAAAAATTAATGTTAAAATTAAAGCATTAAAACTAATATGTTTACTAAAAATTATGAAGATAATTTACATGGGAGTTAGGTGATTAAATTCCGCTCAAAAATATATTAAGCCCCTATAATATGACAATAAAACTCGCACGCAGAATATTTATTCAAGTTATGTAAATGGTACGAATTATAAAAAACAATTAATATTTTACAAACAAAATAATCACATTATATACATATCGATTTTAACAGCTTTAAGTGCTCTAACTCCCCTAATATTAAAAATACAATTAATATACTACATTTACAACATCATATTATATTATTTATAAAAACCATTATTTAATAACAAAACCATCATACGTTAGCTACCTTTTGAGTATTAGAATTTTGTTACAGAATACTTTTCCATTGAAGATAAAAACATTCACATTGACACATCTAGATACTAGAATATAATGTTTTTTTAATCTATAATATACATTTCATTATCTTTCTTTGAGCTAAAATTTTAAAAAATTTGTAATTTTTATTTTTATGCAAAAAAATGTATTATGTAGTCACTTAACAATAGCAAAAAAAAATGTAGAATTTTATAATGTACTATTTATAAAATATTATGTCTACCTACTAAGATAAATATTATTAATAATAGTATTTAAATAATATGATAGGGGCAAAATTAAAATAATGCATCTTAATATAAGTAGACTGAAACTATACACCAGCTTTAATTACTCTTTTTTGCAACCATTACAATATTTTTCTAAAAATTATTACCTACAATTTTCAAATAAATTTTGATCATTTATTTCCAAAACTTGCCACTATTAACAATTACCATTGACATAAAATTATGGTACGAAGAGTATTAGAAGGATAAAGCTGCCCATTACTATACCTTTATAAAAGTAACCTAGTCACCACAACATCAAATATTTAAATACGTTTGTGATTATAACTGAAACTGTCATAATATGGAAAATAACAATTTTTAAGAACAATAAAGTGTAAATATACTTCACTAATTTAAAAAAAAATGTTATTACTACAATAATGAGTAATATTTACATTTAGTATAATTATTCCTATACTAATTATACAAGGAAATGTAAAATTAAAAAATGATACGTGAATTTAACTTCTAACACAAGTAGGTTTAAATGCCAAATACAATATTGATAACTTTGTCCATTTTGCACGTTTGTTTATATAAAACTTTAAGGAAATGCTCAAAAGACTTTTTAACATCTAGTGCTAAATACACTTAATAAAATCGATACTATTCATTTAATAATATCAACAACAATACATATTAATTTTTTGAATAATTTTGTTTCTCACAAAAATTGATAATACATTCTCGCTAATTTTCGACAATAATTTTAATAAAACAAATATTATCAATAAAAGAAATTCATCATTTCTTTAATAACTGATGTTTTTCATTAAAAAAATATTAGAATAAAAGATTACATTTTCTAAAACTAAATTAAATATCAAAATAATAAAATAAACTAAATAAGAATTTAATTAACTACTGTATATAATTGTACTAAGTAAATGTTCAAAAACGATAAATAGATACTTCAATTTACACGAGTGTACATTAATTAAATTAGTGTGTATTATTAATAATGTAGTTTAATTATGTATGATAAAATATAAATTAATGTTGAAAACGTTAACCATTTTTAACTTTAATCTAAATACATGATTTTTTATTTGAATAGTATTTGTTGTATATTAAAAAAAAAAGATAAATTAATCATTATAATTAACCTCATTTTTACTGTATTCATCCCAATTTATTCAATACGTATACTTCTTAACTTTTTGTAAAATTCATATTAATTAAAAAATTAGACTTTCAATTACTATAAAATGCAATGAAAGCCATATTTTAGAAACCCAACCAAACTTAGGCCCAACGAGAGAGAGAAAGTCTTACCTTTTTTATTTGTATACACTATGTCATTGCCTAGATTTTAATGGATTCGAAAAGACATGATCTACAAGATTTTTTTTTAATAAGGACTAACAAATAATTTAATCTGACGCCAAGTACAATATTTATTTTCATAAATATTAAAAATTAGTGTTGATCAAATACATAGATAATTTGATACAATATCTATAAAAACCAATATTGATAAATATTGCCAAAATTAAAAATATATAGATGTGATATTATATCATACCTAGATCATTGTTATTAAATACTTTTAAAATGTTTATTGATTTATAGGCATACTTACATTTTTTAGAGTTTATTATTTATCCCACAATTGTAATTACTGATCCCGTAACAGTTAAAAAATATCATTCATTAATTATAAGTTAATTTTACCTGTTACCTTTTTTGTTTTTGTTCCCACTTAATTGTGCTTACGAAGTATTCTTTCGAATATAAACATACGTTTGCATAGTTTACTCAATGGCCTTGATTTTTTTTAACTAAGTTGTATGAACTGGATGTTTTTTTTCAATCTCTAGCCATTTTGACTACTATATTTAAAACTTGAAAATCATTTCAATTTAATTTTTAATTTTCATCAATAATTTAATATTAAATTAAAAAGTATTTAGCTAACCTAAAAAAATATATATACTAAAATAAGCTGATTCTACAATAATTTAATATTATGTGATATATACAGTCTCATTTAAAAAAAATCTAATTATAAAAATTTGCTTACGAGACAATGTTGTAGCAAAACTATCAATTAAATTATTATAATTAATTACGCATAAATATTATCAAGTATTTCAATATTATAATTCAATTAAAAAAATAATATTATCTATTTTCTTAACAATATCCTCATAACAACATTGTATTATTACTTCAGACAATCTAATATTCATTATCTTGGTTCTACACTCTTGATTATTCAAATTAAATTTGAAAAGAGGCATTCACTAATTTATCCACACATAATCAATTTATAAAATAGAAACCATTTAAAAAAAAATTAAATTTTAAAAATTTACGAAAAATATTTAAAAAAATTTCAAAATAGCCATTTTTTAGAATAGATTTAAAAAAATTATTTGGTGAAAAAAATTTTGATTAATGTTTGGTAGTTACTTTTCTGTAACATATTAAATTTTCCTGTAGTTATTCTACGTTATCAAACGCTCGCTCTGTTATATAAAAAAGGACAGAAGTAAACACCATCTTTTTACACTAAATATGATACGAGTATAGATTTTTCCATGAAAATTATTAACATTCTAATGGCCGGCATTAATTCAAATAAAATACGAACAATACCTATTATTTAATTAGTAGTTTTATCTATAATGAGATAAAACTACTTATCTTACTTTTCTTCTATCCTTGTCTCAACGCGTGTTTTAATGTTTAATACCGTAAAATAACACATGAAAATTAAAATTTACTACTGAATATAATAAGATATTTCTTACCATAATTTTATCTTAAAATCTACACTGCAAAATAGCTATCTTAGAATTTTTTTTTACATTTTATTTAAAATTTAAAAATAATAAATATTTTTAAAAAATGTAAAAATATAAATTATTGAGATATAATTATAGACCTAAAATATAACTGTTAATAAAAAAAAAAATCAGTAAATAACTATATAATTATAATATTAACTACATCAAAAGTTATTTAAGTTGTTAGTGAATACTGGGCCACTCTATATATTACTTATAAAAATTATTGCTATTACATTATTTATATTTAATTATTTATTATATAAATAAATTTAATTACTATAAATTTAGTTAATTATATATATAAAATAATTAATTAATTAATTATGTATAATATTTATTACTTATACAAATTATTTATTTACTTCTAAAAATAATGAAGAATAAATAAAAAAAATATGCAGAGTGATTCAATTATCAAGTATCACATATTTATATCTATAGGAGAGGAAGTGTACGACCGGATATATATAATTATATAAATAACAGTAACCACTATATACATGACCTATAGTCATTACTTTAAGTTGTCAATAACATTCAAAATACTGGTCTAAAAATTGTTATTGACCAGTAATTTTCTTAATTAGATTAATATACTATTAGATAATTATATTAGACTAGTTATTAGGGATGCTGCTATTTGAAAATTAAAGTTGACACCCTTACAAGGTATAAAGGATAGAGGATGGACGTAAAGAAAACCCTATGATTAAAAAATTGAGAGAAACATTGAACTATAAGAAACAAATAACAAAATAATTAGTATATTTTTCTTTCGATTAATTAATTGGTTCATTATAAGTTAATCATTTGTTTACAATAAATATTTTCTATATTAATTTATATGAAACATAGTATGATAAATTATATTTAATCATTATTTTAATAATTGTTTTATATTAACAATTTACTTGTTTCATTATTAATAAAAATAAACAAAAAAGAAATAAATGAGAATAAATGATTAATATAAGTAATAAATACTATCTAAATTTAATTTTTTTAATAAGAATAATAATATAAGAAATAAATAACATTTTATATTATCTTATTTTATGATTATATAAATTAAAATATAAATAAATGTATTTACTATTTATAATAATTATGTATTAGGGGTCAGCCTGGCTTAATGGATAGAAATGTATGTTTAGGAGTACGGGGTCCCAAGTTCGATCCCCAAAGTGCCCACAAGATTATTCTTGTAATTTTTTTATTGGTGGTGTCTGATACATACTGACCATAATATCTGTCATTTTCATTATTGGTGTTTTATTTAAAGTGTATAAATTAATTTAAAATGTATGCAATTGTGAATTTTTATTTTTTAGAATTCACATCAAGTAAATTTAATTAAAAAATTATACATTTATATGTATTAGTAATAAATTACAATTATTAAAAAGTAATATGTCAATTAATATATAAATTTTAACTTTAAAATCAAGTTGTATGAATTTAAAATTCAAAATACTCTATATAGAGTGTTCAGTAAATAAAGAAACGGGTTTCTATTGTTCTCGTTGTTTATAACAATTTATCTGTTTCCTTGCTTACTGAACACCTGTATATTAATAATTATTTATATTATTACAATAAATTGCAAACAGTGGAACGTAAACGTTTATCAAACGTACACATTTATCAAACTTACACGTTAAACTCATGCTTTCATCGAACAAAACGATCCATTTGACTGGATTATCGCGCATCGAGGTCGACCATCACAGACCATCCCTTTTACGACGAACGGATTCTATTGTTCTATTAGGTTGACAGCCAAAATTTTATTATTCGATGAACGTATAATAGAACAATACAATGCATCCATGATGACCCAATGTGACGGTCGACCGTGGTGCGCGATACTCTTCGTTTTTTACGGATGCTCCGTAAAGAAGTTTCACTTAAAAAATGTATCAATGTGTGTAAAACATCTTACCATCTTTTTTTTTGTTTTTTCATTAGCACCATGATTTGAGGTATCGTTTGATTTTTACATGTTTTTCATACGTTCATCAACAATATCAGATCTTGACATATACCTAATAAAACAATAGAATACGTCTGTGACGGCCTAACATGACGGTCGAATGTGATGCCGACCGTAAGGCGCGATAATCTTTTTTTTCAGACCTATGTAAAGAAGTTTCACTTCCAAAATTTCATAATTAATATAATTGATACTAAATTGAAAAATTACTTGATAATTGAACAATAAAATAATAATTTCAATAATTTCAATCGTACTATCGTTGGAATGATCATTTAAATAATTACCCCAACTGAAAAACTTAGTTAATTTATCGACAAAATTGTTATAAAATTATCATATTTATGAAAACTAAATAATGAAGCTGTTAAATAATGTATATAAGTATAAGTTTTGTTTTGTCTGGCTCTTAAACAACAAAAACTTGTTTTTAGTCTCAACAAAACATGTAAAATCACACAAACGTGTGATTTCATACAATACAAACTATGCAAATAAATTACTTGTTTTTAAGAACAACTAAAACAATTTAATTTTCACAAATTCTATCTTTCATAAAATTTAACAGTATGCAAAGTCAAGTATTATAATCCATAATAAATAAGAAAAAATGAGTTGATATTAATTTTGTAATTAAGTAATCATAAAAAAGTTAATAATATTAATTATAAGAACTATCTAAAAAAAAGAATTTTGCCACTACTCTAATCAAAACTATATGTAACGAGGCATAATACCTGTCAGTAGACATATTCAGAAATTTGGTGTCCAAGTTCTCTGTGTGGCCACTCATAATATTTTTTTTTATTGACTAAAAAATTTGCTTGATATATAATAAAACTTATATTTATTTGACAAGTGCACATTACATATGATTGAGTTTTTTTTAAGATATGATAAAAGCTTAATATTATTTGTATAGATGCATGTTTTCTTAAGCACTTAAAATATGCAAAATATGAGAAATTTTTGCATACTCTTTACTCTACAATAGTAATATTTATTGAGACAATAGAAATTATAATATTTTAAATAAATAATATTTGATATTCATATTATGAATGAAATTATAATTTATATAATACTATAAATCATATTAATATACAGACACAAATCCAGAAAAAAATTTTAGAGAGAGTTATTTTATAAACTTTGATTTAGAGACATGATTTTTTTTCAAAATCAAAATTTAAGAATAAAATACACAATTTACATACTTTATATGATTCAATGATATGATTTTAAAAATAGCAAATAAATTCTGTTGCTATATTTCCAAAGCTGATAGCAGTTTTCAAAAAGTCAAAAAAAAATTGGAAATTTCAGTGGTGTCTTTTAGAAATTGATATTTTTGAAGTATATCGATGGACATTTTCAAATAATTTAAACTATCCAATATTTTTTATGCGACCGAATAGTTTATTTTTAGCTTAAACTATCACCTATTTTTAAAACTAATGGAATATATTATAAAATAGTCCGATAAAGTGTGTTGTTAAAATTTCATAATATTCAAATTTTATTGGTCGATAAATCGTGATTTACATGATATCAATAGATAAGAGGTCGATTTTTGATTATTATATCAAATTTATATTTCAAATTGCTTTTATCGAATTTCGTTACTTTATCATTATTATTGTTCTTGAAGATTTCATGGTTTGTAAGTGTTTATTATAGTCTATCACAATATTATGGTCATATATTATAAAACATAATGCCTTGACGAGGTATTTTGCCAAACTATTCTCATACGCTATGAGATATAAAAATGATTTTTAGAAATAAAGGCAATGACCAATAATAAATACTAGTGATGAAATGTGGAATATCTATGTACTGTTGCTTAAATAACACTATTATGTCAGCTCATCTACCCGCTGTGTACACTTTTATTTGTGTTTATTATGTCAATGTATAACGATGCACATTTTAAATTACAAACTATGTGATATTTTTTTACGAAATTAAATCAGTGAGTGTAAATATTTCTATATTATGTATAAATATTAAAATTTTTTTTAAATATCAAAGGATTACACGGTGAGAGCATTTACTTATAAGTAGGGTCCAGCATGTTACACAATTATAAAATTTGTTCAGACCATTTTTGAGACACCCAATTCTATAAAATTTTTACATAGATATATAC